CTGAAGACAATCTTACATATGCACTTGTGCTACAAAATCAGCCACACACATTACAGAAGCAAAAGAAGACAGAGTTGTAGTAATTCCTCAGAGACAACCAAACACCTTGAGAAAATCATTGGGCCTATGGGCTCAGGACCATAGTCTCGGGGGACATCGTGCTCAACTGCCACAACAATAAAAAAAAAAAAAAAAACCCAAACTCACTGCCATGGAGTCAATTCAACTCATAGGACACCTCCTTGGGTTTCCAAAGGCACTATCTCTTTGGAAGCAGATCGCCCAGTCCTCCTTCCAAGGAGTGGTTGGTGGGTTTGAACTGCCAACCTTCTGGTTAGCAGATAAAAATCTTGTTCTACAACCTACTTTGGTGAGTAGAGACTGGGGTCTTAAAAGCTTTCGAGCAGCTACCTATGATACATCTGAATCAAGGAAGAGTGAAGAAAATCAAAGACACCTGGAAACAAGGAGAAGCTGGACCACGAGGACCTCAGCCTTCATGACCCTGAGACCTGAAGAACTGGATGGTGCCTGCCTACCAATGCCAACCCTTTGGAAAAGGATCAAAACTGGAGAGCCTGGGTAGAGTGGGAGGAAAAATGTGGAACAAAATTTAAAAACACAAAACTGACCAGAATTACTGGTTGAATAAAAACTGGCGGAACCCCCAGACTATGGCCCCAGGTTACCCTTTGGGCCTAGAAACGGACTCACTTCAATGGATTGGCTCTCAGCCCAACTGTAGAAAGACCTACATGCAGAACACCTACCCTAGAGAGACGCAACACAACCAGAACCTGGTCCCGTAGCCTAGGCCCAGGGTCAAGCTGTGCCTCAGCTGTACCGTCACAGGAGCCAATGAAACCCCTTTACCACTCAGCCTGTCTGAGATGGCTTTAGTTACCTGCAATATAAGAAGTCCCACTGACTCAATGCAGGAATCCCACAGAAATTGCTGATAACTGCAAACTTGTGTTAGTAACCTGCAGCAACCAGTTTTTAATGCTATAAGCAACAATATTCCCAATGATAAAATTATCCGGTAGTTTTCAAAGGTACTTTTTAATCCTGTCATGGGTGTGTGGGGGAGGGATGGCAGTGAGGGTCCCAGTCCACTGCAGGGCAAAGAACAAGTATCCCCATTATTCTTATCAGTATGTGTGGGGTGTCTGGAAATCCACTGCTGATACATTCCAAACCGGAACACGAACACATGTGTGCGCGCGCATGTGCGCGCACACACACACACACACACACACAGAGCCAACTGTGTCCTTAACATAAAATGAAGGGTGAAAAATCTCTACTTTTAGAGGACCTGAATTATCTGCTTTCTAACTTATCTTTAAAAAGAGATAAATGTGCTTTTTCCTTCCCCAGTTTTTTCCATATCTTACTGAAGCTGACGTTAAGCTACGGTCTCATTGGGCACTTACTATGCGTCAGGCACTGGCAAATGCTTTGCGTACTTTGGAATGTGCTGGTCTGAACTACAGGACGTGAAGCTCCAAGTCATAAAGCAGTGCTATTCAAGGTGCAGTCTGGGGCCCAGTGCCAGTGCCAACAGGTACTAGTCTATGATGGCGTGACCCAGGTCACTAAGGACACAAAGTTCAGCTAATTGTTTTTCCCTAACAAGGCTTTCTCGATGAAGGGACCAGTGTGCTCATGTATACTGTAGGCCAAGCTCCTTACCTGCCCTACACTGCTAACTGCACGTGGACTGGCTCTTTTGACTGACACCATTCTAGACCTCAATTCTGGACACTGTCTCTCCTCTAGCTTCTGGCCCTGCTGCCACACAAGTCTTACACAGTCACATGGTCAAGGATAAAGCAATCAAAGTGACCTCACCTTTGACAGCAGCAGTTTCACGCAGGACACGTGGCCCTCGTAGACAGCGGACAGAAGAGGGGTGATGTGATGCTTGTCTGGAGCCTAGGAAATGAGGAAGAGAGGAGACTGTGTCATCCTGATGCTTCACTTCTGCTTTCCCCTCCAGGTGCGATGAAGAACTCTCGTCGGTACTTCACAGTGAGCACTCACCTGGTCACCTCACTAACAGAGCTGACCCAGCTGCAGGTCTCTAGCCTCTGAGAGCTGGCACAGGCCACCCCCACCAGTGCTTCCTGCTGGGGCGCCAGCACAGGCAGGAGGGGAGCCGAGTGCGGCAGCAGCTCCAATCCTGCGCTGTGCCTTATCGTGTGAAGAGCCCTCCCACCTCTGCGCCTCGGTTCCCCCACTGTAAAAACGTCACCGGGGGCCAGGAAGGGAAAAGGGAGAACACGGCCCAAGAGGAGGGAAAATACAATGTCACGACTGGGCCAGGTCAGAGGGTGCCCCGTGACGGGAAAAGCTCATCTCCTTTGCTCTCCTGGTTACTCAAACGCATTCCCAAACTCTGAAGTGCAGAAGCCACAAAAGGCTCAGGCTGGGAGATGGTGGCTCCTGAACTCGTGCCCACTTGCCTTTGTCCACAACCCACCTGAGAACAACGGCTGTGGAGCCCCTGGCCCCAGCAGGAGGTGGCCACCTGCCTCCCATAGATAGAGCCTTAAAAGGTGAATGGCTTGGCCAATGGGTGAATCCTAACCTTCAGTTTTATCAGCATAAATATTCATAAATAGAACGCCTTTCAGTCACTAGCTTTAAATGAACACGAACTGCACGGTTAATTCTTTACCAACGTTTATTCTTACAAAAGTTGGTTTATTTTGCTTATTTGTGAAGTCTGAGCTATATACTTCTAACTTACAGGAAATCTGGTGTAATTTCAGACTGTATGCCTGTTTAGGAGGTTTCCACACACAATCAATGCACAGATCTGTAGGAAACAAGTACTCCACACACACAGCAGGCTTGTTTCAGAATGAGTGTTCTTTACATACATTGATGTCCGCTCCTTTCAGCAGCAGGAACTCCAGGATCTCCAGCTGCCCACAGTCTGCTGCATAGTGCAGAGGCTTCCTCCCACCTTCCAGTGTCCGGTTGACATCTTCTCCCTTAGAAATAATGAAAATGATGTTGGTATGGGCTGCAGAGGGAAGTAAGACACCCGACAGTTTTACCTTCTTAAAACCACCAGAATGAAATGTCTTGCAAAGTACAATAACCAGACTTGAAATAAAATTCTGCACAACAGTTAACACCCACTGTGTCAGGCTGAAAACAACACACACACAAAAGTCATGTTCAGTGTAACTAAACAGATGGCGGTTGTGTGCCGTCCGTCGGTTCGGAATCACAGCAATCCCATGTGACAGAGAACTGCCCCATAGGGTTTCCAAGGCGGCATCTTTATGGGAGCTGATCATGGAGCCGCTGGTGGGTTCAAATCGTGCACCTTGTGGTTGGCAGCTGAGCACTTAACCACCGCATCACTGAAAACCAAACCAAACCAAACCCACTACCACCGAGTTGATTCTGACTCTCGGCAACCCCCATTGGATTTCTAAGGCAGTCAATCCTTACAGAAGTAGGCTGCTCAGTCTTCCTTCTGTGGAGTGGATGGTGGGTTTGAACCGCCAACCTTCTGGTTAGCAGTCAAATGCCTTGTTGTTGTTGTTGTTGTTATGTGCCATCGAGTCGGCCCCGACTCATAGGTACTGCTAAACCAGAGTTCCTTTACTGCATCACCAGGGTTGCCTTATTTCTGAGGACTTCACGCTGCATAATGTCAAGATGTGGCCACAGAAGACTGGTGAGGTCAAGCAATGAGATTATACGTAGTTCATGGAACATGCATTTCACCTCTTCAAAGCATCACGACTTTGATGAAGCTAGCCATCATCATCCCAAGGTAAGCTCTGTGTCAGCAAATGAGAATTCATTCCACTCATTCAACACTTTATCAAAGCCCTACTGTGTGCCAGGTGCCACGTTAGGCAGTGGAGGACATGGTGAAAGGATCAGACGTGGCTTCTGATTGCATGGAGCTTACACTCTAGTGGGGGAGCCAGATACTAACCATATAATCACTTAACTAAAGATACAATCTCAAAATATGGAAAGTGCTATGAAGGAAAGGAATTCTGAGCTGCACAAAATGCATCAGGAGACCCTGGTGACAGGCAGGCTGTAGAGAATGAACGTAAGCCTCAAAACGGTCCTCATCCCCAAGGATCCAGACTCTAACAACGGCAACAGCTGCACCCGTCCCCGTCGGGCAGCTCCTATGTGTCTGCACTGTGCTATCTGCGTCACAGTCTTCAGACAACCCTAAGTGAGAAGAAACCACGTCTGATATGTGAAAAGTGTAAAGATGAGAGAGTTTCAGTAACTTTTACTGTGGCTTAGTTAGCAATAGATGTCGAAACTCATTCTCTTTCCAACCAACCAACGGTGCTGCCCCTAATTCGGTATGTACCCCTTTCTGCTAAGGAGAGGTCGCATTTCAGAGTGGCCAAATGCCTGGGAGACTATTTCCTCGCTTGGCTTGGCTTTTGTCAACTTACCCAGCAAGCCCCTGAACCAGGCTGTTTGGAATCCTGTCACCTTACAGCCAGTACCAGTGGTTCTTTCACACACACTCCGAAAACTGCCCCTTCTCCACATATTCAAAGCCTGCACCCGCCTTCCTTCCCAGTTATTTAAACAGTACAGATTCTCCAACTTCTAGCTCGTCCATGAAATCTCCCAGGTAAGGTGAGTTCTCACTCCCTTGAGGCTCATAGGAACCAGCATTCACATAGCGCGTGCCTTGCAACGCTCACGAGCACAGGCCTCCTTCCGAAAATAACACCAATGCCTCAGAGTAGCCATGACCTGTTTTTTTGATGACAATTTGAAATCATCATATAATCAGGCGTTTTTTCCCTAAGGAAGCAGATGAAGTCCAGGATTCTAGATCTCTTCTAGCGTCGGAAGAGCAACGTGACCCTCTACCAGCTGGATGGGCTTCAGCTGCAGAGAAAAAAGGGTCCTCTAAGGCCGACTCGACGGCACATAACAACAACAACAACAACAAACCTAAGCCAACTGACTGCTAACCAGAAGCCTGGTGGTTCAAACCCACCAGCCACTCCTCAGAAGGAAGATGGGGCAATCTACTTCCATAGTGATACTGCCTTGGAAACCCAAGGAGGGGTCACTATGAGTCGGGTCCGACTCAACGGCACATAACAACAACAACAACAACAAACCTAAGCCAACTGACTGCTAACCAGAAGCCTGGTGGTTCAAACCCACCAGCCACTGCTCAGAAAAAAGACTGGGCAACGTACTTCTGTAGAGACACTGCCTCAGAAACCCAAGGGGGGGTCGCCATGAGCTGGAATCGACTCGACAGCAGGGAGTTTGGTTTTTGGTTTTTTTAACTGTGTCCCTCAGATCCTGGGGTCAGGGAGAGCGATGTAGTCCCGCCCGGCTGTGGGCACCGCCCGGCTGTGGGCACCGCCCGGCAATCTTAGCAGGTTTCCCCTTTTCATCTTGGCCGCCCACTCTCCACGGAGACTATTTTCAATCTCTGTCACTTTTTATAGACCTCAGACTTCTCCATCTGGCTCCTTCCCCTTCATTCTCAGATGACCTCACACCTCCTTATTCAGACCACTGCCATCAGATAGACACAGGGCTTCCTCAGGGGCTTCTCGGCCACCTCTTGCTGCACCTGACCGTCCTCCCCTCCCAGCCACTCCCTCGGGTAAGTTCTCAGGACCATCCCTTCTGGTCTTCTCTCCCTCTTCTTGCCTGTGTTCCCAACTCCTCTACTGGCACTTCCTCCTCAGGATCTGCCACTGCAAAAGCAAACGTGGACTCCAGACCACGGGGCTCGGTGAACCCCTGAAACTACTGCCCTGAGATCATCTTTAAACCTAAAACCAAAAATATCCCCTGAAGTCTTCTTAAAACCAAACAATAGTAACTTAACTATTAAAAAAAGGTCTGCCTTCAACGGTCCTGTAAGTTTATGTGTATGATCTGAATCCCCAGGTGTGTAGTAGAGCTGACAAGAGGCAAGGTGGTAGTCACTGCCTGGTCACAGTCACCTACCCAGAGGGACCAAGGAGTTGAACCTGTGGGCTCGGGACCACAGTTGCAGGGGACATCAAGCTTAACTGGCATAACATACTACACAAAATACATTGTTCCACCTCCTACTTTGGCGAGTAGCGACTGGGTAAAAGCTTGCAAGCTGCCATCTAGATGCAACAATGGGTCTCTCCCCATCCACAACAAAGAAGAATGAAGAAAACCAAAAATTCATGGATACAATCAGTCCTAGCGATTGGTACACCATCTGATCTGCAGCCTATACGACTATGAGACCAGAAGAGCTAGATGGAGCCTGGTTACCAATGTCAACCACTTGGAAGGGGATCTATGTAGGAGATCCTGGATAGAGAGGGAGAACAATGTGGACAAAACTCAAAATCATTTGGAGAAAATGATTTTCTCCAAATCATCAGGTTTGCTGGTCTGATAGAGCTTGGTGGAACCACTGAGACTATGGCCCCTAGCTGCCTGTCAGGTCTGGAATTGAACCCACACCTGTGGCTTCCAGCCAAACAAAAGACAGGCGTATGAGTTGAACATTGACATTAGGTAGATACACTCTTTGGAGAGAACAATCATGGGAGAAAAAAGGGCTGCTTACGCACTGGGAGACAGCTCAGGGGGCAGAAGGGCATGGAGGGATGGACACAGGGAAGAGGTAACTATGGGGAGGAAGTGAGAGGGGAGCTGTTGCATTGTGGTGAATTGTAGTCACCGTCATGAGACAAAGTGCATGTGAACTGCTTTATGGAAAGTGGGTTTCCTCTGTAAACTTCCACCCAAATCACAATTAAAAAACAAAACACAAAGCCTCTCCGTGGACCCAGTATCCACCCTTTAGATCGTATCTGCTCACCCCCTTCCACGGCTGAACTTTTCAACGTGCTGTCTTTAAGTCTTTAACAGGCTCTCTCCACCTTGTCACCTCCCACTCTAATCCGGCTTCTGCCTTCCACACTAGCCCTGTCCTCCCCTCCACGCTGCTCCGTGCAAAGGTCAGCTTGAACCCTCACCCTCCTGAGCTCGCAGCAGTGACAAAGTCCATCCTGCTTCCTCCTCAAGCACGTTCTCTGACACACTCCACCCGAGCCCCCCCACCCCCCATCTCTGGCCACTGCTGCGCCGTCTCTCTGGCCACTCACTATGTGCTTTTGGGAACTTGGTTATGGTTTCAGATTGCCATCCTCTACCATTGAACAGCTGATAAATGTGCTTCTCCCTAGTCTTATCAACACAAACAGGTTGATTATAGATTTTTTAGGGACTAAGTACTTCCTTACGGATAAAGTTTGTTTTGAAAAGCAGCATCGTGCAGTCCCAGCAGGAGCCAGAGCGGGGCAGCAGCAGCACTCTCACCGTGGTTAAGTGTGTGCGTTAAGCCAGCAGGGCACACGTCATGGCACACGGCTCCCACTTACCACACAGCCCAGGTGTGCAGTCAGCAGTGCTTGTCATCACGTCCCAGGACTGTGGCGCTCACCTGCCCCCTTCCAGCAGCAATCGTTTACGCAGCTTCATTCTATTCACTTTAAAAACTCTTTCCTTTCAGTGTAATATGTATGTAACGTCACGCACAAAAGTATGTAATGCCAGTTGTGGAACACACAACACAAAATTGTATCTTCACCGTATTTTTCATAGAGGGTGTTCTGAAGCCATTCTTATTTTGTCTAAATAGGGCGTGGTTCAGGTCTGCAGAACGTGTCTGCCGTCTTCCAGATTCTCGGAGCCGCACTATCTCAGGGTATCTCCTGGGGAGTAGTTCACACTGACCAGAACCACCGCGGCGATCACAAAACACCATCGAGTGGGTCAACTCCCAGCACCTCTCAGCGTGGGAAGGGGACTGGGAATAAGGTGGCCGTAAGGGGAAAGTCCATCTGGAATTCTAAAGGATCTTAAGGCCACTCTATTCCTGACAATCCCAGATTAGCTCCAGAACTTAATTCACTGACAAACTTTTACTGCAATTTAACTTTTCATGTGTTTCTATCTTAGGTTGCTAATT